ATGCTGTGTTTTTAATTTGGAAAGATGTCCTCTGTTGCTGTCTGCTACGTAATATGATCCACTTATCGGTGGCGTGGCGTGGTGAATTGGGGTCCCTCAGCACCCCCCCCCCCAGTTTGCAGTGGGGAGCCTGCAAGGGGCAGGTGAGACGAACATGCGCCATCTACCATGTGCTCAGGATCCCACAAGTCTGGGCATGTGCCTCCTTGAGTCCTAACAGCCTCCCTGCAAGCAGGCTTGGGTTTCCCCGTGGTACTTCTGGGGAACCCGAGGCTCAGCTGCGTGCCTGGGGTCTCCCGGGCAGTTGGAGGTGAAGTCAAGATTTGACAAGCAGGGATTTCTGGGTCGTGTGCTTGGCACTTTGCCATCCTGAACGGACCTTTGAGCATGGTCGCCGTTGACTCCAGCAGCCTTCTCAAGGGCTCGGGAGGCTCGGCTGTTTTCGTTCTCCGGCCCACGAGGTCTGTAGAGGGGCCTAGCGAGGGGAGTCGGTGCCCTGGCTCCCACGAAGAGGCCACGCCAGGGTTGGGAACTGTGCCCTCCCACCGAGGCCCCGGGCCTCCCTCTCTGCATGCCGTCTGCTCCTGTCCTCACCGCGCCCGGGCCCCCAGGAACCTCTGCTACCATGGCGGCTGGGGAGCCCTTGGCCTTTGCCATCGGAATAGCTGGGTGTAAGTTTCCAGCACCGATAGCCTCTGGCTGGGCGATTCGGGGCAACTGATTTCAACTCTTCGCGTCTCTGTTTCCTCGCCTGTAAAGCTGGAGCAGATCTTTTCTAATTTGCAGGGTGATTGCAAGAGTTAAGTATGGTGCCAATAGCAAATACTCAGCACTCACTACCTGCCAGGCACTGTTTGGCACACTTCTTTGAAATCCTGGCTTTCTCCCAGTGGCTCTGTTATTGTCCCCTTTTGTAGCTGAGAAAGCTGAAGCATAAGGGGTTCAGAAGGTTAAGTAAGGTCACTCGGCCCCGGGGGGCAACCGGGCAGGGGATTCAGACCCAGGGCAGTGGGCTTCAGAACTGTGCCCCTAAGCCCCTCACCATGCCACCTCACCCACAAGAAAGGTTTTGTGCTGCCCCCGACTCTGGAGGGCCTTCCAGACCACGCTGGCTGATGTGAGCACGTAAGCAGTGAGCCTCACAAGACCGGAACCCATAATTTCCCCCGGCATTATCCTCAGACCTGGGGAGCCCCAGGGCCCTGGGTGACTGCGTGCCCTACACCTGTCCTGAGCGTGTTTGGTGCAAACCCGACCCTGGGGGGTGAGGGTGTGGGAGAAGGGAGGCGGATCAGCCTCGGGTGCACTCCTGGGATGCAGGGGCCCCACTGGCCACTCCTGTCTCCCTGGTCCTTCATCGACCCGGGCTGCGCGCTCACTGGAGCAGGAGTGTGTGTGCATGGGTGTGCGTCCTCAGTGGGAAGAACCACTTGTCGGCTAGTTGGTAAAAATGGAAGAGAAGTAATTTCCTGCTAAGCGGGGCTCCTATGAACTGACTCTGTGCTTCTCCTTTTCTCTCTCTCTGCTGCCAGGACCAGCCTCTGAGCACCCCTCACTTGCTACGGCCGTGGGTCCAGCTGTTTTCAACGGCAAAGATTCTCCGAAGCACCAACAGCTGGTGAAGAACGACCTGTCGGCCGTGCCACGGCCCTCGGCATTAGGTAGCATCGCCTGTCCTTGGGGCGGGGGGGGGTCTTGCTTTTTTCTAGGCCAGGCTGTTGTGGGGGTTGTGGGCGCCACCGTACTGGGGCCACTGAGCCTCACGGAGTGGGTGTGGCATGGAGAGAGAGTCGGGACAGGCCGGCAGGTGCCTCCCGGGTCCGTGGGGCTGTGCCCAGGCCCTGGTGTGGGTGGGGCCATGGCTTTGTCCGTCACCGACTTGGGTGATGGGCGTATGGCAAGAAGCGATGGGAGCCCCTTGTGAGGTGGGCGGCCAGTCTTGTGGGCGACACGTCAGGAGGGCTGTGAAGTCCTGGAGAAATAGGAGGCAGTGTGGTGTCATGGGAAAAACACGGGCTCCAAAATCAGATAAATACGAATTCGAAACTCAACTCTGTCTCTTATTGGTCAGGGGGATCTTGGACAAGCCTTCTGGCTAAATTGTTCCCTCATCTGGAGATCAGAATTCTGCATTCAGGGCAGCTGAGAGGGTCAGGTGAGGTGCCGCGTGGAGATTCAGACACCTCTGGCAGCTCACTGAGTGACCATGCCCCCCTCGGCATCATCACTGAGCTCCTTTGCAGGGAGGACTTCCTGGAGGAGGTGACAATCGAGCTGTACCTTAGAGCTGGGGAAGCGTGAGAGGTGGTGAGGGAGGAAGCTCAGAAGAGGATGAAGAGGTGCACGAAGGGGTTACACAGACCTTCTGCTGGAGTAGAGGCCGTGGAGCCTCTGACTCCGAGCTCAGTGCTCGCCCCTCTGGGCTCTCAGGAGCCATTTAGTAAGCCAGGGTTACCTCTCTCCCCGCCCTCCCTGCACGCGGCTGATTGGATTTTGGCATCCAAGACTGTCCAACTGGAAGAGCCCGTAGTAACTCTCTGGTCCCACATTCTGTCTGGTAGAGAAGGGAAGTGAGGCCCAGAGAGGCAGCCCAGGCCTAGAGGCCAGGCTTCCCTGCTTCTGTTACATGGCCGGCAGAGGACATCCCTGGTAGAGGACCAGTGTCCCCTCCCTGGTGGAAGGACCAGTGTCTTTTCTGAATTGGACCTGAGACTCCCCAGTCCTAACCAGCGTGGAATCCGAGGTCCAGCCTCTGTCCCTCCCCTAGCCGCTCCGGGCTGTGACTGGTGTTTCTTGGCAAGGTGCTGAATTTAGGGTGGCCCCGTGGCCGACGACCAGGGCTCTGGGATGGTGATGGCAGCCTTGCACTGTGGCACCTGCCCGGCCTGCGTGGAGGCCTGTATACGTCCAGCCTTTGCCCGGGCAGCAGGGCATGGGGGCCCCACTCCGCGGTGAACGAGGAGCCGTGTGGGAAGTAGAATGCCCCTAGTCCCTGGCAGCCCTCGAACCCTTCTGGAATCTGGCCCCAACCAACCTGAGGAACCTTATTCATTCCCCACTGTTTGAGACTGCCATGCTCCAGGAGTGCCCTCCCCTTCCTGTCCTCACCCCCTGGTCATGCACTGAGTCCTGACTGCCACTAAACCTGCCTTTCAGGGCTCAGCTCAGCTGTCCCCTCCTCCTGCAGCGGGGGTACCTTCCCTGGTCTCAGTTCCGTGGCCATCCGTGTCCGTCAGGTACCGAAGGTCCTGAGAGCAGGGCCAGCGTCCTTCCCATCTTGGGGCCTCGGCACCTGGCCACCCGGGACACCTTCACAGACTGAGACGGCACAGCTGAAATGTCAGAGGTCCTGTGCCTTCCCGCCCGCTCTGGGGAGAGAGGAAGCCCATGTTAATCAACTGCTCCTAAAACGACAAGAGGTGTTGAATTCGGGCTTGAGGGCTGTCGCTCAGTGGTCCTGAGTGGAAAAGTCCTGCCCCCTCACGGGGGGGAGGGGGGGGGCGGCGTTAGCAAGTGCCTAGGATCCTTGCTTGGTCCACACAGGGGGGTCTGGGTGCTACGTGTCCTGGAGTGACATGGAAGTCTACGTAATAAAAACTCGCTCACCCAAAATGCCAAGGGGTGCCCCCCACCCCGATACCAGGAGACACCGCGAGGGCTGGTCCACATTGGCACCCCAGGGACGACTCCCAGTGACGTCACTTTGGGAGAGTCTAGCTGGGTCCAGCAGAGCGGTGAGGGCTTGTGTCCCAAAGGGGGAGGACATCTGTAGACCCTCCATCCTTAGTATCGAGGCCTGGCCCCTCTACGGTAGCTGAGTGTGGTTTTCAGAGGCGTCTTGGTCTCTGTGGGGCGCCTCTGTCTGCACCTGAGGACAGATGTGCGGGCAGAAGGTAATAGAAGATAAACGGAACAGCGGTTATAGTAGCTGCCTCCGGTGTTGCCGGGAGGAGGCGTGTCTAAGGAGCCCCCCGGCTCGAAAGCTCTGTGTAGGCCACCTGTTTTCTGTTTTCACTTTTTGTTCCCTTTGTTCATTTTTGATCAGTCTAAGGCGGAGTCAAGCATAATTTTACCACCTTTAAGAGACTCTGGAGCAAGACCCTGCAGGGCGCTTAAGCAAAACCAGGGTGCCCACGAACGGTGGCGTTTTCTCATTCTTGTTTCCAGAAGTCTGGTTCTGTAGGTCAGGGTGGGGCCCGGGAGCGGAGGGTTTTAGCAGGGCCCTGCTGCTTCTGCCCAGCTCCTTCTCAGGCCAGATTTGTAGGAACCTTGCCCTACACCGTGGTCTTCAACCCTGGTTGTGAGTTAGGGTCACCAGGGAGCTTGGAGTCACCACGGTGCCCGGGGCTCCCCCAGACGCGGGGTTCCGCTTTACCTGGGATGGGCTTGCGTCCAGGCACAGAGAGCTTTAAAGGTTTCCCAGGGGCGTTTAATGTGCAGCCACAGCTGAATGTGTGCTTCTAAACGTAGGGGAGATTTTGAGTCGGATTGCTCAAACGAATGTGGTAACCAACTCTGGATATTTTGAATAACCCAGGAGCAGAGCGTGAGTCCCGCACATGCTGTTATCTAGAGTGGGCGGGGATGACTCGTTAACAACAGCAGGTACCAGCCTCTGTTCCTGTTGACTTCTTTGGTCTGAAGTTAGTGGTCAAGGCTGAGGTGGGAGAGGAACACCGGTAGAGCGGTCCTGCCCCCAGGTGGTGAAACTGTGTGGTGGTTGGTCAAACGTGACTGTGGCTTATCCCAGAAGCACACGGGCATTCACGGGGCAGTTTAGAGGAGGAGGCGAAGGAGGATGTGATCTTGGGGGCTGCCGGCCAGTGGGCCCCAAGGCTGTGCTTTCGCTACATTCTCTTTAGTCTTCATGAAACCACCTTTAACGGCAGGGCTTGTGACCCCATGTTAAAGGTGAGGGTGTGCTAAGGGCTCAGAGATCAGGCCGAGGCACTTGGCGGGGTTTGGAACGAAACGTTCACTGAAATGGACAGGATATTTCCTCATGCCCGGACGCTTCCCTAAACAGCTAACGACCCTCGTAAGGCTCTGATTTTTAAAAAATAACAAATACGTGCTCTCCAGAGCAGGGGGAGTGTTTGGAAGCTCATCCTTAGCGAAAGCCTAATCCGTACTCTGAATGTTGTCTAGGTATCTTATCAAACTCTGGGCCCCCGAAAAAACGCCACAAAGGGTGGTCCCCAGAATCTCCATCAGCGACAGACGCCGGCTACGCCCAGGGTGGTGGGAACAGAGCTAAGTACGGTAAGTGACGGCAACGTTGCCAGAAACCCGAGACTCGGGGACCCGTGGTGGTGCTGCTGCTGGTGGGGCGTGGGCATGTGTGCCCGTGTGTGTGCTTCCACGTGAATCGGCGAGGATGTTCTGGGGGGCAGACTTGGGTATAACAGAGGGTCTCTTTCTCGTACGGTGGGGCTGCTCAACCAAGTCCAGGCTTCCTGTATGGCAGTGAGCTTGTTCCCTGACCCTAAAGGAATTTAAAAGGGGCTTGCTGCCACGTGGCAGGGAGACTGAAGAGGAGGGGACTGGGTTGCTTGGTGGAGAAGATTGGATCAAGCGACTCTGAAGATGCTTTGACCTCAGGAGTCTGTGATTCCAAGACTTGGGGGCTCCCACAAGTAGGGGTGAGGGTCAGATTGTAGCAGATTCGCAGGCCGGCCTGACATCAGGTCTGCCAGAGGTGGGTGGTTTGTTTGGCCTGTCTGCCTAACTCTCCTGGCCTGTCCCTAGAGAGCGCAGGCATGTCCTGCGTGCCCCAGGTTGGCTCGGTGGGACCAGCGTCGGTCACCTTCCCCGTTGTGGCCTCTGGAGAACCAGTGTCCGTCCCTGACAACTTGCTGAAAATATGCAAGGCCAAGCCGGTGATATTTAAAGGCAAGTACAGCAGTGGGACAGGTGGTGGAGGTCGGAGAGCCTGAAGGGAGGAACAAGGGACAGGCTGACTCCAAGGGTGTCCCCCTGAGAAAACTCTCAGATCCTTTCCAGGGCAACGGAGGAACTAAGCAGACCAGTCACTGGTGTTGCGCCTGGTCAGATGCCAAGAGTTCTAGGGCTTTTCACAGATTTCCACGACAAGCCCAAGTGGAACGATTCTGTTCTGTGATATGCATCTGTTCATTCACTCGCTCACGCTCGCTCGCTCATTCACTCGCTCATTCACTCATTCGCTTACTCATTTGCTCACTCACTCATTCGCTTACTAATTCACTCGCTCACTCATTCACTTGCTCGTTCACTTGCTCATTCACTCATTGACTCACTCATTGGCTCATTCATTTGCTCATTCATTGATTTGCTTACTCTTTCGCTCACTCATTCACTTACTAATTCACTGATCACTCATTCACTTTCTCGTTCACTCGCTCACTCATTCATTCACTCGCTCATTCACTAGCTCACTCGTTCATTCATTCACTCATTCGTGCCATAATGACAGGTCCGGTACAAAGCACCAGGGAATGGAGACAGGTCAGTCAGCCCCTTGCTCCCACCCCTGGTCCGGTGGATTGTCCTGTGTCATCCTCTGCCACTAGTACATTTTGACTATGCAATCTGACTTTGGCCGAAGACGGCCACGGTTGCCACATGGAAGCAGGAAACCTGACTCCATCTGTTTTGCGACAGTAGGTTAACGTAGCCTCCGTGGGGGCAGACTTGCCGCAATAAGGAAGTCCCCTTCTAGTGAAGCAGGAGAGGTTGAAATGTGAAGGTCTGGCGGGACTCGCGTGATGATGACGGTCGCCGGGGCCGTGTGGTAACACACACACACACACACACACACACACACACACACACGCACGTACGCCTCCTTCCTAAAGAAGCTGGTACAGCATCTAGCATCGTGTTTGGAGGCACAGAGGAGAGAGGGTCGTAGGCAAGTGGGAGGTATCTTACCGGTAATTAAGAAATAAGAGAGGCACTGCTTTTTTTTCCTAAAAAAAAAAAAAAAATGGACAGGGTCTTTAGGAAGAGGGGTGCAGATCTGGGTTTGAACTGAGCATGAGTCACGGCCGGTAATCCCATCGGGCCCTCTTGGCTAATTGAGAAGAAGGTCAACGTGCAGCGGCGTTGCATGCAATCTGTGCACGGCCATTACATGTCTGTGAGACGCTGCGAGAACGTGGGGATGAGAAGACAGAGCACGGTGGCGCCACTACGGGCAGGGTGGCATCTGTGCCTCCCCCGAGCCAAGGGCCTCAGAGGAGTCGGGGTGAGGGTCCGGCAGACCCACCTCTGACGACCTCAGCTATAGACCATCCTCCTTATTCCTCAAGGTCACTGCACTTTCTGCGCGGTTTAAGCCACGCACTCTTTGTGTGTGTGTGTGTGTGTTTTTTTAAACATTTATTTATTATTGAGAGACGGAGACAGAGCATGAGCAGGGGAGGGGCAGAGAGAGGGGGAGACACAGAATCCAAAGACAGGCTCCAGGCTCCGAGCTGTCAGCACAGAGCCCGACGCGGGGCTGGAACCCACAAACGGCGAGATCATGAAGTCGGAAGTCGGACGGTTTACCGACGGAGCCACC